CATACCGTGGCGCTCTTACCTTCTATTCAATTTTTAAGGATTCAATTCGATTTTAAAGGGAATCTGACCATTTCTTTTCAATTTTAAAAGGAGTCAATGTCACTCACTGGTGCGACACGAACAATGCGTGCCCCGTCCGCTCGTCGAACTCCATCAGGACACTTTCCTGAGTCTAAGGTTGGGAACCATGGGCCCCCTATAGTATCGGGTTTAGGGTTCAGGGTTTAGTGGGCCCTTGAAGCTTTGGATGCTTATATACCCACTTTACCCCGTAAAGGCCCCTAGAATACCACTCAGAAGCTTCAGGGCCGGCTTAGAGGCCCATACTTCAAGGCGGGTTTAGGGCTCTAGGACCAGGCCCTAAGGGCAATAAGAGATGCATAGGGTTTACCTCTAGGCTTTCAGACTTGGGGTTTGGCTTCGTGTTTCGTGTTGGCAAGGGTTTGGGTTTGGGGTTGGCTTCAGGACCCTAAACCCTAAACCCTGGGAATTAGGCTTTACGACCTGGATTTCGGGCTTCAGGCCCTTTGGCTTTAGCAGTTTTGCGCTTAGAACTGAAGCGTTATGTAGAGGGCCGGGGTTGTTAGACTGGGACATCCATGTCAATGCGTTTCTGCGCCAGAAAAAGTACAGCCATACGAAAACTATAAGGGTAAGATCTTGACCCCTCTATGTCTGAGAAGGTACGTGGCATATCAAAGGCATTTCCAGAAAAAAAGGGTCCGTAAACACCAGCCCTAAACCCTAAATCCGCTATAAGCCCGAAGCTCTAAATACGTGACGATTTACCAAGGGACGCTGTTTTGGCCACAGCAGGCGCTGCAGCCACAGCTGCCATGGCTGGCAAAGCGATCGGAGGCGCCATGGCAGGCACAATGCCCTCGGTTCTGCAACAAATCATGTGGCCGGGTTTGCAACTCTGCGGCCTGCGACTTGGCATTTTTCGCTTTGCTGGGCAGCGGGAATTCTTTCACGGTTGCAGACCGCGACCATGGTGTTTGATCTGAATCTCACGTTGCTATCCATGATCCCTCCGTTCGCCAGACACCGTCAAGAAACCACCAAGGCCCTGCAAAATCCAGGCCAGCACCTTTGCTCAGGCCCGTCCCACAGCGGCCGCAACCTGCAGGACCGGGGCCGCTTGTTGGACCATACGCAGACGTTTCTGCTGCCGCATCTCCCTGTCCGAGTCTCGAGCCCTTTTTCGGCCGCCCGCACTTCCTGCTCGATACCGCCGGAGCTCGCAGCACGCGTGTTCTGTATGGTGATACTGCCAGCCACGTTGCGAGACGATCGCCACAAGTTTCTTTGGGAGGCTTCATTTCAAGTGCGCCGTCAGCGCTTCGAGCCGCTTTTCCAGGCTGAATTTCTTCATCAACCCAAGGCCTCCGGTAACCTGAAATATGAGGTCGTAACTGGTAACCTGAAATATGAGGTCGTAGGCTGACAGGCCGGCTGGTTCCAGGAACCAGTTCCGAGCACCCAGCTTTCCCTTGTCTAAATGGAGAGAGCGCAGGGTTTTGGGTTTGCATGGTGTGTGCGCATGTTTACTTGCGAAGTTGTATGAGGTTTGAACAAGGACCCCTGGTGTCAGTGTCCGTACGAAATAATAGAAACAACCTTGACATAGGCAATATGTGTGTTAGTTAGACTTGGGTATGTTCGGTGGGTAAGTTCATAAATCCACACAAACTATAGTGGCCATTCTGAGACACGTGTTGACATCATGACTCCCAAAACCTCTAAACGACCTGCATGCTTTAAGCGGCTTCGCTTATCGTACCATAAAAATTCTCACGCAAACAACATACATCTACGGTCTATAATTGGGGCATATTGGAGCGGTGCAGCAGCAAGCCCTGAAAATCCCTTGAGCATAGAGCTGTCCAATGTGTTCTAAAACCTTAACAACCTACCATTTTGCGGTTTTGCTTATTGCACCAGACCAAAACAAGTAAACGCATTACATTTTTGGCCTTTGGGGTGACGCATTAAACAAACCCTTGAAAGTTCTTTGAGCAAAAAGCTGTCCAATGTGTTCTAAAACCTCAGTGAGCTGCCAAGTAAGCATACGCTTAGAGTCTTTATTTGGGGCGTTGCCGTAGCAAACCCTGGAAATCCCTTGAGCAAAGAGTTGTCCAGTGTGCTCTAAAACCCCAACGCCATGCAATTTTAGCAGTTTTGCTTACTGCACCAGAAAACGAGAAGTAGACATAGATTTAGGGTTTTTGGGGTAGTGCATTAATTAAACGAAGCCGTCGGCCACGGTTGAGCAATGAGCTTTCCAATGTGTTTAAGGCACCGCGGGCAAATTTTGTGGTGCGTCCACCTTCAAAACAAAGGAAATTCTGGAAAAAAACCGTGGTCGCAGGCCCGAACAAACCCCCAACGTGGCTCACAACTGCCCAGACAGATCCGTGAAATTCAGCCCCGGAACCGTGAAAAAAACCTTGGAACCGTGAAATTCCGTGATTTTCCAGGGGTGGCCTCCTCCTAGCTACCAAAATCTGGCATTTCCGGGTGTGCTACCGTATATTTCCTTACCCGGGGCAAATTGAGAACATCATATACATAGATGCGGAGCGTTTGGGACCTCAATGCACGTTTACCTGCCTGAGAATTTCACTAGTGCTGCTATGAAATTCCACAGAGACACCCGGAACTGCCCAGAACCTTCTAGAAGCTGAACCTCCGGGGCCCCGGATGTAATCCCTTATAAAAAATCGCTAGTATGGAGCCACATGATTGTTCTAGTCCGTGTATATCTTGATCTTGAAGCAACTGTGAGCGCTTGTGTTCCCCTTGTGCGCCACATAACCCAACCTTGAAAAACAAAAGCTCATGAGAATCAAGGCTAGATGGATTATTGGCTTACTTGTCACATCTTGTCACCCATATTACTTCTCATATCCTAGGCTTCCCCAGGGCTACTGTTTTGAAAACTTCCCTATTCAACGTTTAGGGTGTACAGGTTTTAGGGTGTGGGGCCCGTAGGGGGGGATTACTTGTAGTTTGATCAACTTCTGGAGGTCTATGAATACATTGCGCCATCACCTTCTAGGTTCTCTGGGGTGAAGGTTGATTGCCTCAGGACTTCAAGACTACTTTGATCATGAATTGTTCATCATGGTGGCAACTCATAGGAGAGTTTACTCAAGGACTAGGTCCCGTTGGAAAATTTACATGCCTCGCGTACATGCGTATGTACCGCCCTTCAATGAAAGCACCTGGACTTGTCTTGACTTCCTCTGACACATGACAGCCGCACTCAAGATACGCAAGTCCAAAATGAAGATTTCCAGCCCCATGCAACGAATTCAATCGCAATAATGAGTATATTCGGACACCTTTACTGGCATGAAAAAGGACGCTGGTTCCGTGAAATTCCTGGTTCCCAAAAAGTTTGGAGCCAAGGGCTTGGGAGGGTCCTGGTTCGGAACTGTGGGCTGGTTACCTGAAATCCGGGGTCGTAGGAGGCCCTGGGCAATGCAGTTGCTTCTTTCAGCACTGCTTGGGCCTCCTTACCAACGTAACGCGATTCCGGCAGTTTGGGGAAATAATGCCGGAGGTCGCGCTACAGGAGGTACCTTAGGAAACGCTGTCGCACGTGCAGCTTCTTGTCAAGCACGTCGTTCACCTGGTCTTCGCTTGTGCAATTTGTGATGCTCTGGGCGGCGCGTTGCAATTGCTTCGAAGCCATTAGCTCTGCTAGAAGCTTTGCGGCTTGCTGCTTGCAGCTTCCTTTTTTCCACTGCCCGCACCGTGCTCTCGGCGTAGCTGCTCCCAGTTGTACGGGCCTTAGTGCTGCTTCGAGCCTGGCCGTTGTCTTGTAGCCGGCAGTTACATCTTCTTGGAAGGACCGGCCGTTGGCAGCTTTCTTGTACAAGGCCAGAAATTTCTCCGGCCCTTCGCCTCCAGAAAAAGGAGCCTGGACAGCCATAGATGCGCAAGTGTAGCTGGACTCCATCGTGGGCATTGCGAATAAGATTGGAGCGAGCAGTAGTCCAGCTCGGGAACAATTTCTCAGCGCTTCTGTTCCACGAACTTCTGGTTCTGCTGCAGAGTCGCAACATCACGTGGGATGTTGCCCACTAGCGCTGCGTACTGCTTTGAAGGCAACAGTTTATTCAGCGTTGCTAACAGGGCGGCGTGCAAAAATACCATCAGCTCTGCCCTGCACCGCTCCTGCCTTGGTTTGCTTGAAACGTCGTTGCACTTTACAAAGGCGGTTACTCTGCAATCTAAACCTTCGAATCCACACCCCAGCCTTGTCTTCGAGTTAGGTTACCTAGGTGCCAAACGCGTTTTCCCAGAAAGTTTCCTTTTGCATGCCACAAACTCGATCTCTAATGCAGTGGGTGGACCGCTGCATTTCAAACGGAATCTGACCATTTCTATTCAATTTTAAATGGAATCTGACCATTTCTATTTAATTCCAAAATGGAATCTGA